AACTACAGAAACTCATTATGTTAAAAACAAGGGCAGCAGATACTCAAAACAACCCTCCTTAATTGTGTCATTGTGTTCTACTATTGTCTATGCTCTCGTGATTATTTACTCCTACTGTTTGTTCTTGGAAATGCTATACAATGGGTGCTACTGTGTATCTTTTCTAACAGTGAAGACACTTCATATTGGTAGCCTGAAACCAACCGTGGTGTATTTACACTGCAGAAATTGGCCAACGCTGCAATCCAGGCCTTAATCTACTGTAATTGTTTACACCAGAAGCTGTTTTGGTTCAATCTTTAAACTAAGAAGATTTTTTTACATTTTAAATATAGAAGGAAGAAAGAGGAGGACGGGGGAAAAGAAAATATGTGACAGAGACAGACATGGCTGCAAAGCCTGAGATATTTGCTAGCAGGTCTTTACAATAAATGTTTCACAAGCCTGAAGCAAAACATTTTAATAATTCAGTGAAACTGAGAAACTTCCTTGCTGGCTGTCAGCTCATAGAAGCAACCTCAGCCCTGGTCATATGGTCCCCTCAAGCTTCAAAGCAGGAAGGGAAAAAAAAGCTTCTGTATTGAATCCTTCTTAGGCCTTGAGTCTCTGGCCAGGAAGCACGCAGTCCCTGTAAAGGTCAGGTGCACTGAGGCTGGTTACCCTTTCATGAAGTCAGCTGTGCTTACAGCATCATCTAATCACAGTGTGACACCCCCTCACATTCATCAGACCTGCCCCCACTCAAGAGGATGGATTATGCATGCCTTTGAATCACAGCATCATTCTAGAATTCTTCCTACTACAAGGGAAATCTCACAGTTTCTGTCATATCTACCTCTTTCATTTCCATTATTATTTCAAGAAGTTGAAATCATAGATATATAATATAATATCATATATATACATATATGAAGCACGATATATATATATATATATATATATATATATATATGAAACACTCATGCTTCTTCTACAGAAAGAATTAATACCACATCTAATTTGAGCCTCTTGATAAGTAAAAGCAGTATTTTAAGACTGATAGTTAACAAGAATTTACTTCAGGTGCAGAAATAAAGCAACAACCAGCTGTATTTTTCATGAGGTCCTCAGAAAATACCTGGTTAATAAAAACTTACTTCAAGTGCAGAAATAAAGCAATAACCAAAAAGCGGTATTTTTCACAATATCTGCAGAAACACTTGGACCCACCCGCATTTAGATGATATGTAAAGATGACTTTGCTTCTTCCATTTCAAATGCTCAGAATGTCACTTCCAGCCTAGCTTTTTAAGAAGGAAAATGCCTCTAGCCTTTGTTAAAAAACAGTACAGCAGGCCCAAAATGGGCCTAGGCCAATAGTTGGCAAACTCATTAGTCAACAGAGCCAAATATCAATAGTGTACAACGATTGAAATTTCTTTGGAGAGCCGAATTTTTAAAACTTAAATGTCTTCTAATGCCACTTCTTCAAAATAGACTTGCCCAAGCCATAGTATTTTGTGGAAGAGCCACACTCAAGGGGCCAAAGAGCCGCATGTGGCTTGCCAGCTGCAGTTTGCCCACCATGGTTCTAAAGGAAGGGGACCCACTGGCCTTTTGCCTGGTGAACTCCCTGCTCCCACCTCCTTCTGCCCATCACAGTCTCATTTTGAACAGCTCCTTGGAGCGCCTTTCTATCTGCTAGATGGCATGCTGTCCAACTCAAATAGATTTTTGCTCAAATAAACAAATGTTTAACATGCCCCAGTGTATCTTTTAACAGTTCTGGCCTCAGAAGAGGGAACCAAAGGAGACACCCCCACGCTCCCAGGACAACAAGCAGCCCGGACAGGTACCTGCAGAGCCCCTGGCTCGCTGCCTTCTCGCTGCCTCTGGAGGTGCGGGGCGAGGCCCTGGGCTCCTGGATCCGCTCCCAGCTCTGCGTTAGGCGCTTTGGGACTGAGCACTGCCTTCCCTGGAGTGCGGCCTGGAACCTGGAGCCAGACTGGCTCAGACTGAGGCATCTGTGCACTCAGGGTGGGACTGGGTCTGACTTGGAAACCTACTCAGACCGGGACTGAGACTGAGACACTGGGACTGGGACTGGGATTGGGTCTCACTAACGCCGGAGTGGGGCCAGGGTGAGGCCTCAGGTGAATAAATCCTATGTGAAGGCTGAACAAGCAGGTTTACCTTATCAGAGAGAATCAAATTAAAGTGGCCACAGCGGAGAACGTTTAACCTCGATGAGCTTACCCACTTACAAAGTGCCCAGAGTAAAAGGGGTCTCATCAGGCACTCTACAAAGGATAAAGGGAAATTATTTTTCTTCCTCTACAGTTTCAGGGGACTGGGATGAGACCTTCTGGGGCACCCCCTCAGTCCAGAACCTGCAGAAGGGACCCTGGGGAAACTGGCAGAAGCTGGCAAATGGGGAGAATTCTTATTGAAGTCAGCTCTCCCACACCTTAATCTGTGAGGCCTGGTGGAGAGAGAGAAGTAGAATTTCATGTTGTCCTTTGTAAACTCCAACTCTTGTGAATTTGATTTGGGGTACTCACTGGTTGTTAATTCTTCCTCTCTTGAGACAGCAATTGCCTTCTTTTAAATATATATTTAAAGAATAAGGCCTTTTAATTCCAGCGTGTGTGCTTGTGGGTGCACGCATGTATATGTTGTATGTATATGTGCATGCTGCATGCATGCAAAGCACACACACACATTTCATCTATTATCTCCGCCATAACTACTTTCTCAGCAGTGACTTTAAAAATCTGAATACTGCAGCAATGTTAATTTTATTATCTTGACAGAACTTGTTTTCCCAATAATTGCTCTGCAAGAATTAAATGCTAAATCAGCAAATTTCTAGAGTATTCAGGCAATCTGCTATTATGCAAGATTATGCCTTTTCTGTTAAATGATTCCCAGAGGCTTACAAAACAGGGTAACTTTGTCCTACTTGTGGATTAATTTCCTTTTTCTGGTTTTATTTACATATATTGTGAAATGATTACCATACCAGGTTAATCTAACATGCATATCCTCATATAGAGACAAAAGAAAAATAAAGGGGAAAATTCTTGTGATAAGAACTCTTGGGATTTACTCCCTTCAACTTGGCTATATTTCACAGAGCAGCATTAGTTAGAGCCATCAGGTTGTACATGACATCCCTAGCACTTGTTGATCTTATTAGTGGACGCTTTTTATCTTTTGACCACCTTCCTCCAGTTCCTCCTACCCTCAGCCCCTGCCTCTAGTAACCAGAAGTCTCTTTTTCTATGACTTTTTCTTTGTTTTGTTTTTTTTAATTTCTCACTATAAGAATTTTATTACAAAGGTCACTCCTAAAAGAATAATATGTCTTTAATAAATGTTGCTGTTTTTTAGAGTCCACACATAAGTGAAATCACACAGTATTTGTCTGACTTATTTCAGTTAGCATAATGCCTTCAAAGTTCCCCCAAATGTCCCCATATTGTCCCCAAAATGGTAGGATTTTCTTGTGTGTTTTTTAAGATATATATATATATATATATATATATATATACACACACTAGAGGCCTGATGCAGAAAGATTCGTGCAAGAACGGGCCTTCCTTCCCCTGGTTGCTGGCACCGCCTTAGCTCTGGCAGAGCCACCTTTCCACTTTCCCACACTGCCTAGAGGCCCAGGGTGGCTGGGGTGATGCAGAATACTCAGCGCCTGCATATGCAAATTAACCCGCCATCTTTGTTGAGTTAATTTGCATAGTCACTTTCTGATTGGTTGGTGGATGTCACGAAGGTGTGGTCAGTTAGCATGTTACTCTTTTATTAGATAATATATCACAACTAGTGCACATGCTGGGATAAGAACCATTTATTAAATACTTAATGGATTATAAACCACTGTTCTAAGTGACTCACACAGCTCAGTTTTCCTCACTGAAAGACTGGGCATAATGAATCATCATAGGTGATAGCTAACATTGACTGAGTGTTTGCTGTGCGCCAGGCCCTGTTCCCAGAACTCTATTCAGACTAGACAGACAAGGCCCAACTTGACTGGGTCGCCAGCAAGCCTTCCATATCATCTCCCTCCCTCTTCACCTCATTGTGTTCCTCCTCCACGTTGGCCTCCAGATGCTCCCCAAGCAGACTGAGCTCAGTCCCCCTCACAGCCTCTGCCCATGCACACTTTCCCACAGACTCACAGGGTCCACTCCACTGGCCCGCTTACCTTCCTGTTCAGACATCACTTCCTCGGCGAGACCTTCCCTGACCATGTCAATTAAAACCCAGGACCTTGCAATAGTACTTATTGCTGCTACCAAAAGAGGCATCCAGCAAATGCTTGTTTAGTCAGTACATGCTTACAGAGTGGCCTGCTGCAAGGTGTCTTTTGGGATTGGCTTCCTCCCTCCCTCTCTGCCCCCCATCCGCTCCCCTCAGCTTCCTGAATAGCTGGCATACCTACAGCCCAGCTATAATAAGTAAGTGAGGGCAGAAGCCCCAAGGAGACCCGAGGAAAAACACCCCAGATGAGGGCTCTAAGATAACAACGCTCTTGGAGAAAGGATGGAAAGCTAGAACCTAACCTAACGTGTGAGGGGGAGGCCAGGTGGGCGGCAGGAGTCCCTGCGGAATGCAATGCAGGCACTCTAGGATTTCACGCGGACACACAGGAATCCGACACAACCCGATGTGGGCTTTTGACACGTTTCCTCTTGTTCGTGCTGGCAAAACCGACTGCTCAGGAGTACGAGATGCAGCGATGGAGATGGGGCGGACTTGACAGCCCCTTATTCACTGAGCTGCTCCGGAACCTGCAGTGTTGAGCTCCTGAGAGCGCCTGCCAGGCCTGGGGGCGGAGTCCCCGCCGCCGAGTCGGCCCCGCCCCACTCCCTCCACCTTCCCCCGCGACTCCTGGGGCACAAACTCAGGCCTGGAGGTGAAGGAGCATCTCTAAATCATTGTCTTTATTTCTCGGCGGGCCTTGAAGTTGGGGATCGGTGGGACCCCCTGGTCCAGGGGGATTACAGGGCCAGCTCCACCCGCGGTTGCGGGTCCTTCTCGCGGCGGGCGCACGGGGGCTCCGGGTCGGGCTGCGGGAGCGGAGGAGAGTTAGGTTGTCAAGCCCTTGGCTGCCTTTGCCCCGCCCCGTCAGCACCCAGAGGTGCCCCGCTCCCTCTGGGGGACATCCCCGCCCGCTTTGCCCCCCTCTCTGCCCGCCTCGCCTCCATCCCTGGCTCCCGACCTCTGCTTTCTGGGCCCGGTCGTCCTCCTCGGGGCTCTGCGCCTGGGCGGGGACTTGCCCGCCGGGTTCCTCCAGCTCCGCCTTCAGCCTGCGGAGAAGGGGCAGAGGAGAGAGAGAGAGGGAGGGAGGAGGAGAGAGCTAGAGCGGAGGGTGTCAGGAGGAAACCACCGGGACCCAGTGACCTGAAGAGGCCCAGAGCCAGTCCCCGGGGCCTCCTTTCTCCTCTTACGCTTCTTCGGCTTCGGTCACTGCCAGGGCGCCGTCCACCGCAGGCGAGGAGCGCAGCCTCTGCTCCACCCGCTGCAGCTTGGCTCTGGCTAAGTTCTCTGCAGGGGGTGAAGGGTGGGCATCACGGCGGGGCCGGAGCTCCCTGTCCCTGTCCCCCTGCCCGCGCCGGAGTCCCACCTTCAGTGAGCAGCTGCTCCTGGCTGCTCTGCAGCGCGCGGATCTCGCAGGCCAGGCGCCGCTCCAGCACCTGCTGGAGAGAAGGGGCCTGTCTTTGGTCTGTAGTCTTGGCCCCCCTGCTCCTTCGGGCCTCTCATTGAGTCCTTACTTGAATTCGGTCGTTCATTCATTCACTCAACTATGCATTAGCTCAGAGGGCAGCTGCTGCGGCGGCGGGGTGCTGGTGGAGACATTTTTCTCGCCCATCGCTCGCCATGTCCCTGTGTACCTCTCCTCTTCCACCGTAGGTCCTGCCACTCTCCTTGCCCCTCCTACCCCTCCTCATTTGTTCGTCCCCAAATGTCCAAGGCAGAGTTCAGCCTGAGGCCTTTGTATTGGCCTTTCCTTCCGCTGGGAGCATTTGCACCCATTCCTGCCCGCTTCCTTCCTTACTTCCTTCGTGTCTGCATTCAGATATCACCTGCTGAGGCCTTCCCCAACTGATAGTACATTCTCTGTCTTACTTCTTTTTTTTAAAATTATATTTTATTGATTTTTTTTTTACAGAGAGGAAGAGAGAGGGATAGTTAGAAACATCGATGAGAGAGAATCATCGATCAGCTGCCTGCTGCACAGCCCCCATTGGGGATGTGCCCACAACCAAGTACATGCCCTTGACCAGAATTGAACCTGGGACCCTTCAGTCCACAGACAGACACTCTAACCACTGAGCCAAACCGGTTTCGGCTTACTTATTTTCTTATTTAGAGTATGGGGGTGCCTCCCCTTGCCTCAAACCATCCTGGGACCAGCAAACACTCGGCCCTTGGGCTCCCACTGTCTCCCCCTGCCTGGAATGCTGTGAGGTACCTGCAGGGACATTAGTTGAAGGAAGGAACAATCTGACCGTGGCTTTTTCAGGGTTCCCCTTTGCCACTGCAAGGTAAGCACATTCTGGGTGATCAAGTGGGGAACAGGGTCAGCGATGGTTACTGTGACAGTCCTGGCCACGTGTGACAGTGGGGGGTGGTGGTGAGAGGAGGCCAGATTAAAGGTAAAAGCTGACAGATTGGGTGGATGGGCGAGAAGAAGAATCGTGTCAAGGATTATGCCATGAACTTGGGCTGGCGCAGATGGACCTGAGCAGCCAGCGGAGATGCAGGAGAGGAGAGGCTTTGATCAGAGGCAATGATGATGGCTCACCTGGAATTCCCAGAGGTCCTTGTGCTGGCCCATCAGGTCCTCCAGCTGCTCTTGCACGTGTGACCTAGGGGCCAACACCCAGGAGTGAGAGAATACCTGCTGGGGCTGACACCCAGCCCGGCTTATTCTGCGGATTCCACACACACAGGCCATGACATCTCTGCCTGGGGCTCCCTCTGCTGGGATCCCCTTTCAGGTCTTTCTCCTCCAAGCTGTGGTTCCACCAGCTCCTCCCAACAAATCTCCCTGATGCAAACCCCACGCCCACTCCCCACCCAGTGCCACGCTAGGCCCCAGGGGTTACCCCAGCTCCCTCTGTTTACAACTCTCTTCAATCGGAGTTATGGATGGAAATTTGATCCATGAACTCCTGCAACGTGTGCTTCTGAGGAAGGGAAAGAACCTCAGTCATATTCTCTGAATGTTTCCCCCATTCCCTCCTGCAGGAGTGGGAGTTCGGGTATTTTCGTAACCCTCATCGTTCCCCTTTCTTCTATTGAATGGATGTGAAAATTGATGGGCCTCTGTCGAGACTATCATCCTGTCCCCCATCAAACCATGCATTTGGGCCTGAGCAGTAGGTAGGTCTGAGCAGTGAGCAGAGACATTGAAACCAAAGAGGAGGGGCTTTGGTTGGAAGGACACTTTGTGAGGGGAGAAGTAGTTTAGTTTCGTAGATTCTAAAATCCTGCCTGAAAGCCTGCATCTGCTGTTCTACTGTGATGCTCTTACTGTGTAAGAGGTCTCTGGGCCTTAGTTCACTCATCTGTAAAATGGTGGTAATGATGGGAGGGTGACATTAGCCTTTAACTCCTTCAATTGTCTTTGGGAGGATTATGCTGATAAATGAACATAAATTGCTTATCAGACTCTCTTTGTGTGTGTGTGTGTGTGTGTGTGTAGGGAGGTAGTTAAGCATGCACACACTATCCATCATCAGGTTTTCCTGCACAATTAAAATCATGGTGCACCAGAGTGTGACAGCTCTGGTCACAGAATAGTTAAGTAAAGATCCAAATGGTGGAGAAATGGATGGATGGATGAATGGTTGGATGGACAGTTAATTGGATGGGTGAATGGCTGGCTGAAGAGATGATGGCTGGCTGGAGAAATGACCAGTGAAGGGAGATGGCTGGGTGGAGAAATAAAAGGGTTATTAGAAGGCTAGAGGATGCCTGGGTGGGTGGGTGGGTGGGTGAAGAAATGAACAGCTAGAAGAACAGATAATTGGAAAGATGGAGTAAGAGGAATGAATGATTAAATGGATGGAAGATGATTATCTAGAAGACTGGAGAGATACTGTCTGTCTGACCGGATGAAGGGTTGGATAGTAGAACAGATCTATTGATGGGTGAATGGGTTACTGGGTGAATGGATGAAATGGGAGGCCTAAATGAGCAGATAGATAAACAAATGAATGGATAGCAGAAGATCTGAATGACCAATAGGAGAAAGCTTAGAATAACACCCGTGGATGACATTTATAAAGAAAGGATCAAGGAGTGATTAAATGAGTGAGTTCATCTTAACACCACTACCTAATATCAAAGATGCACACAGAAGTCTTTTCTCTAGCTAGAGTATATTATAAAAGGGGGAAATGAGGAGTGTGTGTCCAAGATTTATTTTCCGTAGCCCTTGCTCCCTGCTCCTTCAAGGTGGGAAGTAAGGTGGGCAGAGCTGGGCAGGACCTCTTACCTCTGTGCCTGGCTTTCCTTCCTGTGGCAGTGCAGCTGGAGGATCCTCAGCGCTTCTGTGGAGAGGAGCCAGGAGGGCCATGTGAGAGCTCCTGGGCAGCCAGGCTGGGGTGGGTAATGGGCACTGAAGGGCACTAAGAGGACTTGAGTGTTTACTTCAAGTCAGGTGGCAGCCGAGGGAGAGGTCTGAGCAGGGAGGGTAGCAGCCTGACTCGGGTTTCAGTGGGGTTCTTCTGGCTTTTGTGGGTTGATGGGGTAGGGTAATAAAGACAGAACAGCTGGTAAATACCTTGCTTTTTTCTCAAGACCTCCTCTAGGTGTACTTTCTCTCCATTCACTGGAAAATACAGTATCGCGTTGAGCCTCCAAGGAAGGGGCTATAGCCCATACTCACGCTGCAACTTCATGCAAAGGGCATGAAGAAGCAAATCAAGCAAGAGAGTGAGAGTGACAGAGAGAAAAGATGACATCCCATTTTACATGGGACCATCAAGGTAGGCCTGCTGAGTAGTCTGAGCTAAGAGCTAACTTGAGGTAGCGAGAAGCAATCTAGATTACATAGCACGAGAGCACTGCAGACAGAGGGAACAGCCCATGCACAGACCCTGAGGTGTGCACAGGAACACAGGCAGTGCCATGGGATCTCTGGGTCCCTCTTTGGGTCTCACTTACAAGAGTCCAATTCCCTATGCAGCGTCTCCAAGAGAGCTTGGGTCTCTCCCAATTCCTCATTGGATTTCTTCTTTGCTGAGCCAAAACACAGAAGAAGACACTGTGAATGCAGCCTCTAGCCGGCTATTCTCTCTCACATTATGATACTGCACGCTATCTTCAAGCAACCTGGAGGGGCCTGAATTTTAGAGCTGAGGAAGGGGAGTCATTCCAAGTCCAGGGCCCACCTCAATCCCAGTTTACCATGCTGAAGGTCATTAATCCGGTTAATCAGATCTTCTATCTGTGGCTCCAGGCTTCCCTCTGCAGAAGGAAAGAAAGATAAAATCAGAGGAGACTGAAGCCTGGCTGTCTGAGGCAGATGGAGGGTGGGTGGGAGTTGGCATTGTGTCTCTGCTGCTATCATCAACACACATTTATGGAGTGCCTGTTGTAAGCTGGGCTCTGCAAGAGGCACTCTGCAGGGCTTGCGTTCTAGGTGGGAGAGATGGACACTGAACTGAGAGGCATAAATCAGGGTAGGTGGCAGCAACTGCTGTGAAGGGGAATAAAGCGAAGCAAGAGGTTGGAGAGTGAACACATAGGAGGTGCTTTTCTTCAGATGTGGAAAGGCCCAAATGAAGACAGGGGAGGGAGCCCTGCAGTTTTGTGGAGGTGTGGGGTGTGGAAGGAGGAACCCTGCCAGGCAGATGGACAAGTGCAGAGAGAGCGAGGCAGATGCCCAAAGAAACAGCTAAGGGGCCATGTGGCAGGTGTGAATCTAGTATTATAAGCAAGTGGGGAGTAGCAACAGGCAAGGTGGTGGGGAATGAGGGTGCAGATCACCGAGGGTGTCCAAGGACACGGTGGAGGCTTCTGGTTGTAATTCTGAGCACGGTGGGAGCCAGGGAAGACCACCTGCCTGCCCCTCCCTGTTAAAAGCCTGGCAGGGCAGTTGTCACCTGTGTCCTTCCAGACCCTTAATTATTGGTCCCATTAGAGAAAAATGGGGAAATGCTGCTTTAATTTTGTGGGTGGCAGCTTTCAAGTTCTCGGCTGGCAGGGAGGTCACTGCCTCTGTAGCGTAGCCATCTCTACCTTCTGACAGCCCCATGATCAGTGTTCGGCATGGAGAGAGAGGCCTTCTTCCTTGACCCTCTTTTTGCTTCAAGATCAGCAGCACGGAGCTGGGGCAAAAAATAAACAAAGCTTCCCAGCCTTTGCTGGGTCTCCAGCCCCAACACTCTGAAGTGAAGAAACTCAAGCCCTGGATTTTCCGAGGCCACCCACTCCAGCTCCTGTGACTTCTAGCAGGTGGGTGCTTCCAAGGTGTTATTTATGGCGGACAAAGCTCCAGTCCTGCAATTTCTCTCATGTCAGCCTGGGCAGGAGCCCCGGTGCACTTCTGCGGGAGCCACGGGGTCTGAGGAAGGGGAGGTTCCCTTATATTAGGAACCGATCAATGCACCATAAAATTTAACCTGAGGGTGGGCTGTGGAAGGGTGTGTCCAACCTCCAGTCCAGCTAGAACTTGGCCCAGCCTTGATGGAGAGGGCTCCAGGCCCCCTTCAACAAGCAAAGCTAGGCACAAAGCTATTTGTATTGCCATTTGGATATAAAAAGGGCAAAGAACACACACCCATGAATGTATTTTTTTTTAATCTCTAGAAAAATACCCAAGAATTTAAAAATAGTCACTGCTGGCCTGTGGGTCAGGGAAACGGATGCTGGTGTGTGTGTGTGTGTGTGTGTGTGTGTGTGTGTGTGTGTGTAAGAGCATAGGGTTTTCCATCCCCTTATACTACTTGAATTTTGAAGCTGTGCTTTTGGTTCAAAGAATGAATTGTGTTAAAGGGAAAGAGTGCCATGGGATAGTTCTCCAAGGCTGTGAGTTGAGGGAGCTGGGTTTGAGCCACACGCCTGACTCAGAACCCCAGGGGAGCCTCAGGTACGGTATGAGGGGACACACCACCTTTCTGCAGCTTTTTCACCATGGCCAGCAAGTCCTCAGCCTTCAAAGATTTGGTCTGCCCTGCGGAGACGAAAACCAGAATTACAGGATCCAGTGAGAGTGAGGGGACTGAGGAAAGGTCCAAGCCTGTCAGGGAAGGGTGCAAGGAAGCCCCAGTAGGTTCTTCAGACACCCCTGGGCTGGGACCCAGGACAGGCCAAGGGCGAGGCCTCCAGCAAGAGCAGGGCTTCTGTAAGACCTGGCCCCTTGCCCCTGAGGTTTCTGGTGTGTGCTGGATGAATCAGGGACCCTTATGGCCAGCTTCTTCCTGAGATCAAAGGACACCACAAATCCCATAATACAACACATGCATGAGAGAAGGTGAAGCACTTTTGCGGCTGCTTTTCAGAATCAGTAGGACGTTCTAACCAATGGATAGGGTAGAGAGATTTCATATGAATTCTGTAAAATCATTAGAGGCCACAAATTGCAAATCTTAAAGAATTTATGGGTCTAGGAAATAGCTATTAACGACTGCTAACAATAAAAAAAGACAACAGGGTATGATGAGCTTTTTGATGGAGAAACATAATACCACCTATGAAGGATCCTTGCTAATCAAAAAAAAATATTACTAAGGTTTCCATATCTAAATGCCAATTCAAAGGAAGTGCAAGGGGGCAGTGAAACATGTTAAATTGTATCATGGGGATGTGATCAGCATTATAAGACTCTGGCAAATTCCACAAGACAATCTTGTTTCTTCAATAAGTAAATTGCAAAGAAGAAAAAGGGAGAGGGGTAAACCATGGTTGAAAGACTTAAGACATATATCAATCAATTATAATGAATACCTAATTTGGATCTTAATTCAAACACACTTTAACCATATATACTTCTATACATTTAAAAATACATATATGTTTTTAATGGTTTCAGAGATGAAGGGAGACGAAGAGAGAGAGACAGAAACATCAATGATGAGAGAGAATCATTGAATGGCTGCATCATGCAAGCCCCACACTGGAGACAGAGCTTAACAACCCAACCATATGCCCGTGACCTCCTGGTTCTCAGAGGTTGACACTCAACCACGGAGCTATAGCAGCCGGGCCTTCTATACATTTTTAACATGAGCCTATGTTACTTTTAGAATTATAATAACAATAAAATATCAGAAAAAATATATTGACATCTTAAGCTTTTGAAATCAATGATAAAAGGTCAAATCCCAATGACTCACCCCTCTCCTAGGAAAATTGGGCAGAGAATATGAAAGGCAGTGCACAAATCACACATGATAGCTAAAAAGTAATATACAGAAAAGTCTCTTCCCCTCAGACCCTAATTTCTCAATTTCCCTCCTCAGAAGTCACTAGTGTTACAAGCTTAGAGATAATTCATATGCAAGCATATCTCCACTCCTTCTATATAAGCAGTATCCTATCATAAATATGTTCCACAGCTTGTATTTTTCATTTGACAATGTATACTGGTGATATTTTTCCTATTTTTTAGTGTGGTTCACAGAGTAAAAATACCGTCATTTTAAAGAGAGGTCCCTTACTAGTGGATATTTAGGTGTCTTCCTTCTTTTGCTGTTACAGACAATGCTATATTGATCATGTTTTATTAGTTTTCTTGGGCTGCCAAAACAAAGTACCATAAACTGGGGCTTCCAAAACAAAGTGCCATAAACTGGGGCTCCCTTTTGTGTGTTTATGTTTTCACCTTGGATTCTATCTCTCTGTCCAAAATTCCCTCTTCTTGTAAGGACACCAGACATTGGGTCAGGGCCCACCCTTACTCTGTACAACCTCATAGTAACTAGTCATATCTACAAAGACCGAGTGATGTCACACTTTGAGGTCCCAATCTTCATGAAATTTTGGTGGGGACACAATTGAACCCAGTAAACTATCCTAGTACATTCTTCTTTTCTGCACACATGGGAGTATATTACTGGATAAATCCTAGAAAGCTACCTGCTGGATCTAGGGCATGTCTATTTTAAAATTTGATATTTCGGAATTACCCTCCATCTGTTTTTGGCAGGTCCAAAAAAGACTCCTTCTCCATACTCTTACCTGCCAAGTATGTTTTCAACCTCTCTCATTTTTTGCTAATCTGATAGACAAAAGCAGCAGTTCATCTCAAACTTTCTGGTGGTAAATATCCAAAATTTAATCAACTCGACCAGAAATTCCACTTCCAGGAATCTATCTTAAGGAAAAAATTTAGGATGATGGGCAAGATGTTCATTATTTCATTGTAATCTTAAAAGATGGAAGCAGCCTAAAGATGCCTTGGTTGATTATAGCACATTTGTAGGATGAAATTCTTTACAGCCATTAAAAATCATGTTGTAAAACAGGGGCTCATAACCTGAATTTATTAAATTTTGTTAAAATATTTGGTATTCACTCTCTTTATATATTTTTGTCTTGCCTGAAACCTTTTAAAATTATATGCATTAATTTAATTTTGCATTTGAATGTTTAAATTACTTATTAAACAAATGTAAAAGAACATATAGTAAAAAACGTCTCCCTTCACCATTAGCCCCTTCCCCAAGTCAATTCCCTTCCCAGAAGTAATTACTGCCAACAGTTTGGTGAAGACAGGCAGATCTTTTAGTAAAATGTGTTTTATGCATTGCTTTAATTTTTACTTTCTTATCCTAGTAACATTCAAAAAGCATTCAAACACTACACAAACATGTGAAGTTAAAAATGAAACTTTCCCTTCTCTCCTTGGTCCCAAAGCTCAGTGCCTTTCTCTGGTATTAATATACTGGTATGTATTCTCTTGAGACTTTAACCAGTTTTAAATACTCTTACTACTTGGAAATTAATTAAACAAAAAAAGTAAAGCTACTTTAATAATAAGGATAAGTATTTCTTTTTTAAAATAGTTATGACAACTTCCAAATGCATGTAAAAGTAGGGAGAATACGGTGATGAACTTTGATTTACTCATTGCCCAAACCTAACAATTATTTGCTTCAGCTATGTTTTTCCAAGCAAGCCCCAGGCTTCATCTACATATTTAAGTTTCACTACCCCAAGACATTTTCTTAGATGACTCCACTCCTGTAATTATACCAATATTAACAATTATCACTAATCATTGGTTCATTAATATCAGCTAGTACCCAGAACATATGTGATTTCCCCGACTGTCCCCATGTCTTTTACAGCTGGCTTTTGCAACCATTTTTGTGAAAACTCCATCTGTTTTTCCTCTCCCTTGCACTTCTAGTCCTAGTCATGGGGTAGATCATGGGTGAACAGTAAATCTTTTAAATAATCCAACTAACAACTTAATAAAAGTTTTTTTTTAATCCATGTTATAAAACAGCTTATAACGCATGAGCTCCTTTTAAACATTTTATTTTGAAATAATTATAGATGTACATAAAAGTTGTAGAAATAGACCACAATGCTCCTAACTTGTCCTTGTATCAGGTTTCCCATTTGTGAGAGCGTTTCTGTACCATAAAGTGCAGGCACCATGGCCCATTATTCCTTAATGTTCCAGTGTATATTTCCTCTAAACCAGTGGTTCCCAACCTTTCTAATGCCTCAACCCTTTAATACACTTCCTCATATTGTGGTGAACATAAATCCAAGCAAGCCCCAGGCTTCTTAAATTTTTCATTCCCACACTTGGGTTGTGATTCTCAGGTTGAGAAACGCTGTTGTTGAGCCTAAGACCATCAGAAAATAAAGATATTTATGATTCATTAACGGTAGCAAAATTACAGTTATGAAGTAGCAACGAAAATAATTTTATGGTTGGGGGTCACCACAACATGAGGAACTGTATTAAAGAGTCGCAGCATTAGAAAGGTTGAGAACCACTGCTCAAAACAAAGGGAATCTATCAGATAACCACAGTATAACCATCCAAACCAAGATGACAATATTAATAAATATCAATATGATTCTCGGATGTAATTCAAATTTTCCTCATTCTCATATTTTTAAAAATTACACAATACTACTTACAGTTTCCTAAAAGAAAAACAAAAAATCACAAAAATGCCTCCACTTTTGCACAGCCCCTAACATCCAAGTCCCTTATTAAGAGTCATCAGTGAGGCCTTCTGCCTTCAAATAACTTTTCTGTGCAACCTACAAAGGGCTATGGCTCACATTGCTTTCTACCTTATTTTGAAAATCCAACCTTTTTCCTCATAAAAATATCTCTTTTTAGAGTTCATTCTGTGTCAATAAATCATGGTCCTATTCTTTTAAATTTTAATTATTTTAAATTAACTTGCAATCTAACCATTGTTTTTATTGCTGCTCAAAAATTTTAAATGTCCCCCACACATAGGCATTCCACAATATGCATGAATATACCTGTTTAGCCATTTCCATGATTGCTCTTTTTTTTTTCTTCTTTCATCAACACCATTTTAATGACTTTTCTGGCTCAGATGTCTCTGTATTCTCCTGATTACTAAGCATGGTGACCGAATATAAGGAATAGCATTCTAGACTCTAAAAATGTTCTGCCAAACTGCCTCCAAGTGTTTACTGGTCAGCTCTCCAAGTGAGACAAAAGATGGCCTTTCCCCCAAAGTAATCAATATTAGATATTATCTCTCTTCCTATAAAGCCGATTTTAATGCTAGAAATGGTAACATCATCTACTCTTAAATTCCCTCCTTGCTGAAGCGCATACACTTCAATTGTGACAAATTTGAAAGTTGATGCTAAAAGCTTTGTAGCACAGTAGCAGCTGCAGCGGGTGCTCAATAAATGAGATCTATTTGCATCTGTCTGTCCTTTGTTGAAAGCTGGCATTCAATGTGTGGCCCTAATCTGAGAGAGCTCTCCATGTTAGTTATTATTCATACAATAAACAAAGACAATTATTGAGCACCTACTATATGCCAAGCAGGCATTGTTTGGGCCTTGGGGAAAGAGCAATAAAAGGTTCTCATGGAGCTGACACCCTAGGACAAATGAACAAGTTATTGTTGATGTCTGCATAGACAGGTCTGGACAAAATGCAACCATGTTTATTAACATAGCGGTTTAAAGACTGCAGAAAGGGGGTTATGGGCGAAAGGAGAGCAGAAAGTTGAAACAGTGATGGGTATGTGGGCATTCATCATGCTATTTTTTGTACTGTGGTACATTTTGGAAAACGCCTGTATTTTAAATACAGGCATAGTGATGGATCAGTCTTGGGAGGTTTTCTTCTTTTGTCTAGAGGGCAATTCCCACTTGTCTGTAAGCAGTGTTTTCCCCTCTCAGGAAGGTGTATCATTTATCAAAATGCCCAGGAGAAAAGCTGTCTGTGGGAGTGGCCATTCTAATTAGGATTTGAGAGTCCACACAGTGTGTGAATCTGCTGGATGTCAGACATGGGGAATTACTGTGAATTTTCTCAGATGTGGCAGCAGCGGAGTGGTTTTTGTGAGACTGTCTACCTCCATTCGTTGCTTGAAGAGGTGCATACTGACGGATTCTTTACCTTAAAATACTAAGCAATATGTCCAATAAGGCTGACAAGTTAATCTAGGTGAAAATATGCATGTTATCTTCACATTGCTGAACAGTATTTTCTAGAAGACTTACATGTTTACTTTTTTTTTTTTTTTTTTTAGTGCCTCTATCAATATCTCTTTATTGGAATGGGACAGAGGCTTCTCCTCTGCCCTGTCCGGGAGGACCAGCTTACCAGCATATCCCTCGCCCTCCTCAGACTCCTCCAGCGGCTTCAACTTGGCCGCCATTCTCCAAAGCAGGAGTTAGGCGCATGCGCCTTGGACAATTGGTTGGGGGCAGGGGGAGCACGCGAGGGCAGGAAGGCTCTGCAGCGCGCATGCGTGCAGCGCGCAGTCCGCTTACTGGACCAGGATGAGAGCAGTGGAGTTTCCGTGAGCCTCTGACTCAAGTGACATGCGGCTGTAATTCCAGTTTGGAGAAAGCAAGTTTAGAACTAGGATCTCAGTGGATAGGGGACTGAGTGTTGTGAGTACATATACAAACTGGAAAGAGGTCTCGCCCCCTCCTGGTTGCTCCGTGTAGTGCAGGTTGTAAGAAAGACTGGGGCAAATGAGTTCGAGTCCCTTTCATTCACAAATGCTCACTTAGCCAGGGAGAGGTCAGTTATCTCTATTTCACGAATGAACGAGTGAGCATTAGAAGCTAAGTGCACCTTCTATGTATAAATTCTGGATCTCGGCTACTGTGTGAAGCCAGGGGGCTTTGCCCTGGGTTATACACACACAAACAGACTTTCTCATTAACATTAGCAGCAGCCAACACTGATGGGTCATTTTTGACAGGGTAAAGATGAAGCATATGAAGGGCGAAGGAATGTCTTTGTGGGGATTGGTTTAGACCTTTTTTTTTTTTTTTTTTTTTTTTTTTTTAAGTATCTTTAGGTCAGTTTCAGCACAGGCTGGCCTCATGGGTCACCCAAAAAAACCTTGGCCAGCCTTGGACATTCAGGGCTAAGAGCTCCAGAGGCCGACTCCAGCTGCAGGACAGGAGAAAGTCCCTGACAGAGGCTGGAACATCATCCAAGTGCGGCAGAGGGAAGGGAGGAGCCTAAGGATTTCTCCCTAGGTGGAGATGCATGAGGGGCTGAGGAAGCAGCCCACTCACCTATGTGCAGTCATCTCTCATTCGTGGGCAAGCCCTCGGATGTTGCCCTACTTCCCAGGGAGAGGGAGACCAGTCACAGACACCACCGTCAACCACCCCACCCCTTCCAGCTCCCCCTTTCCAGGGTGGAGACAGAAGGGAAGAGCCAAAAGCAGTTGTTCCCAGCACTGCCCAGTCTGGGAGTTCTGCCTCTCAGGATCCAGTGAACAAGCCATTATGGGAAGCTTGGTCCGTAGAGGCAGATGAGGCTGCTGGAGGTGAAGAGTACTTGGGTGGGTAACGAATGAAAAGTCGATCCTCCTCTTTCTTCACCCAGCGTAGGAGTTTGGTCACTACCAAGATGGCGCCTGCCTTGGTCACCAGGGGGCTGAGGCAGGTATAGAGCTCAAACTTGGAGGTCACCTGTGGGTTTGAGAGGAGACAGAGTCAGTTGGGCTGGAATTGGCCATCCGTAACCCTGTCCATCCAACCCTAGCCCCATGCCTAGCTCCTGTTTGGAAGACGCACCTGGCAGCAGCTCCCACCTGATGCTGTCTGGTCACTGGGCTAACGCAGGTAAGCTGGTATTATTGTGTCATGGGTGAGCCAGGGGTTCTCAGTTGAACCAAGGGTGGGCCAGGTTCATTTGAGCCAAGGGATCATTTAGAGCTAGTGGCTTCAACTGGGTGATGCTGACTGTGATGCTCACCTATAGAATGGGTATAACAACAACAGTGCTTTTTAATGAGCAATTGTTGTATACGAGGTCTTGTTCTGAACTCTACACACCCATGTCTTCATCATCTGTGCCCTGAGTATAAGAGGATTAATTCCATTCAATCCTCACACAATCTGAGACACGTACTGTGATCAGATCACCAGTTCTTTCCACACCACTTCTCACTGCTCGCCCCTCACTTCCTCTGTTCCAGCCTCTTTTTGCTCTTCCTCAACCATAAACCAGGCTCAGTCCCACCTCACGGCATTTGCACAGTCCTTTCCTTCTGGCCAGCTGTTCTCTTCCTCCAGATACCCAGGTGCCCACCACCTCCCTGCCCCACTTACATGCCATCCCCTTGGTGAGTAATTCCCCGATCATCCGATTTAAAATCCTGGGCCTACCATATCTTGGTTTTGAATTATATTCTCCACTAAAAGGTACAAAGGCTACTTGAACAAATGGACTGGAAGTGAGCTTGGAACATCTTGTGCCAAAAAGTAAGAAGTGTTCCAGCAGCAATGGAGACATGTCAAATGACACAAGGGCCAGTGTACCTATAGCATGGCTCCCACTGGCTATGTGAGAGACAATCTGAGCGATGAAATAAATAATAGACAAGAAAAATAAACGATATAGAAGGTTTTTAGCCCACTGAATTAAAGAAAATTCCATGAGAACATACTAATATAAAATTAAAAACTCAACAAACAAATATAGGAGGAAAAGGTCTCTAAGACAATAGGATATCAAACAATAACTATAGAAGGAATGATAGGGTTAGAAAAATGACAGTAAACACCAGAGTAATAACTATTGGAGGCAAGAATCATTAATGGATATTAAAAATAGTGGGTGAAAATCTGATGAAAAACAGAACATTAACATAATCACCTCATGCTATTTACTAATTACAAAGGGGAAAAATACTAACTTTATAATGGATAAATCTGACAGACACCACCTTAACTAAGTGATCAAGGCTAATATCATCAACAACAGGACAAACTGACATTGTGGGCCTCCTGATTTGATGCAGAGTAGGACACATCACTTCTATGATATTCTTTCAAAAAAGACATGATCTCAATTTAGTCATGATAAATACCAGGAAAACCCAAGGTGAGGGACATTCTACAAACTAACTGGCTGGTACCCTTTAAAAGTGCCAAGATTATGATAGACAAAAAAGACTGAGGAACTATTCCAGAATAAAGGACACTAGGAAGACACAATAAATAAATCTAAGATGTGATCCTGGACTAGATTCTGGACCAGTAAAAAAAAACATTAGTGGAACAACTGGTGAAATCTGAATGAAGTCTGTGGACTAGATGCCATTATACTGGTGTTAATTTTCTGATTTTGGTAAGTTACTGTGGTTATGTTAATATCTGGAGAAACTAGGTGATGCAACTATTTACAGTAATTTTTCCTACTATTTTACAACTTCTTCTAAGTCTAAAATTTCTTGAAAATAGAGTTTAAAAAATTAAAAATATAAAAGTCCTCGGCCTAGAACAATGCCTGATACACAATAGGTACCCAATAAATTATTTAATAAATGTGCACTGAATGGCAGAGCCTGGGGGGAAGGTGCCATTTCCAATGGGGTCACCTTGACTAACCTCTCAGAATAGATAACATTTAATACACCCATCGCAAGTGAAGACTCCAGGGAAGGATATCCCAGGTAGGAGGCATAGTATGGAACCAAGCCTTTGGTATTCAAAGAGTTCTGAACTGGTGCAGGGAGACACACGGGCGGGACTAACGGGAATATGGGAAATCAGCAGATGGAGTGATGGTTATGAATGGGGCCTCTTGAAAGCTGAAGACATTGTACCGGTTGCTAATGGGGGAACAGCAAACAGAATGATGGGGCTAATGAGGTTGGGAGACACTGTGATTGACCGATTGACCCTTATGGGTGTCAAAGACACATGTGTAATGGCAGGGATAGTGTTGAAAGCAAAGGTATATGTAGCCCAGGCTACATACGGATGGAGTTTGTTATGGCCATGGCCGGGGGGATACAATGGAGGCAGAAAGAACTGAAGCAGAGAATTAACCCCCGAAGAGTCCTCTCCCCAGCTCACCCAGGCCAGCAGCGTCTCCTTCTCAGCCACGTGGTAAATGAGGCGCAGAGGCCGGGAGGTACTGTGGAGGCGAGCGTGCAGGCGGTGGTACAGGTCCGATAGGCGCTGCCGTTCCTCCTCTCTGCTGTATGGGGCCTCTAGCTCAGGGCTGCAGGAGGGAGGGAAGCCGGAGACAGGGTCAGTCTAGAGCTTTCTTGGCTGGCCATCTCCCCTCAGTCTAAGGAGTTCAATTAAGTTAGGGAGCTAAGCCTTCCCCATTAGACTTAAAGAATGTCTATGGTCAGAGACCCAGCTTTCCCTCCAACTATGGGATTCCTTGAGGTTGGTAGTTGAACCTCCCTTATCAGTTAGACACCCATTTGATTCCGTCATTCTAGAGCGCCGGTCGCCAACCTTGGCGACTGCTGCTCCAACTGTTTCCTTAAACCAGCGGTTGCCAACCTTTCGGACCTCATGGACCGCCAGTGGTCCGCTGTTCTAGAGCACGGCTGGCTTTCTTTCCTGAAACATGTCTATGAGATAAGCCTTCCCAGCTGACAGATTGCCCAAGGGTCAGGACCCACCTGGTAAACTGAGGCAGCTGGCGGTGATGGTCAGGGATGTCCAGTGGTTTGTAGAGGAAGTGCCAAAGGCCAGGTGCTCCCACAGCCTGCACGCTGTAGGATGGGGCAGTGGCTGACGGGGCATTAGAGAAACTGGCAGCCTCTCCAAGGGTCCGCATGGCACCAAGCGTGTGCATGCCCTCTTCCACCAGGCGCCGGCAGGTGGCCATGTCATGGAAGGCCTCGGGGTCCGTGGCAAGCAGCAGCAGGCAGACAGGCATGGCGTCCAGGCGGGCCACGTAGGCATAGAAGAAACCATCCGGGTTGAAGCGGGGCAGGCACACAGGTGCCCACGCTTCTCCGGCTGCAAAGGCGGGTGCGCTGACCCAGTTGAGCAGCAACTGCAGGTCCGCTGGGTCCAGCCGGCACTCAGCCAACACATTCCGCTCCTGGGCTGCTGTCACCAGTTGACCACCCACCGCCAGCACGGACAGTGCCAGGCCGGGTGCCGTGCAACGTCGGAGCAGTGTGCCCAGTGCTTCCCGCAGCGGGCGAGTGAGGGGCACGCAGCGCACAGCACCCAGGAGCAGCGCCCCTGGGTCCCGCTCCACACTGTCCAGAAGCCGGTCTAGGGTGCGCTCGGAGCCAGCCAGCAGGCGGCGGAGGTCGTAGTTCTGCTTACGGGCGAAGATGCGGGCCACGCTTGCGCGTGTCAGTGTACTCACGATCTGTGCGTGCACAGCTAGCAGCTCCTCCCGCAGCTGGGCTGCTGACTGAGGAGTCCTCGACACGGCCACCAGCAGCAGCGGGCCCTGCTGTAGGAACACCAGCTTGTGGTCCTCTAGGGGAGGGAAGGGATGGGCAGGGGGTAGCGATGAGTCGATGGTGACCGAGAGGATCAGGTGAGGCTCTTCCGGCCTTTCCCTGAACACACACCTCTGGCCCAAGCTTGCACGGTTACTCTGTGGACACTCGGACTAGGGTTAGGACAATCTGGGGGAGGCTGAACATTTGTAGAGACATGATGGGATGGCCGAAGTGTCAGGTTAGACATACAACACGAAGTGGGGGGAGATGAAGCAAGGACTGACACAGCTAGAAAGATTCGCAACGCAGCCACACAGCCATGGTGCCAGATAAACAAGGAAGTATCCAGCCAGCCACTTCCATCCCAGGAGTTAAACACTCAGGACCCAGAAGGCCAAACGGACAAGTGGACACAACACCAAACCCCCAACCCTTCAGAGGACTGGAAAGCCATCCACACACACTGACCCCCACCTGGCTGGCTGGACAGTGTCCCAGGAAGTCAGACAGACTTACAGCTACCCAGACAGCCATAATCACATTCGCAGTCACTGCCCCCGTTCCACCCCCTGTCCCCTTGCTCACCAGCATAGATGGCGCGGATGGTGTCTCCTGCACTCTGCACGAAAGACACGAGAGCTGTCATCACACCCATGGTAGTCGACAGCGCCTCCACACTACCATACCTGGAGTAGATGGGCTTGCCCGCCTCACTCAGTACAAACACGTGCTTCCGCTTGCTGCGCCAGTCCTCGTCACTTGGGTCTCCGCCTTGGCCCCCAGGGTCACTCTCAGAGTCACCTGTGATGTTGTTCTCAGAGGCTGCAGGATCCCAGAGCCCACAGGTAGAGGAAGGGGACTCTGACTGGGGCAGTGGTGACAGCAGGCTGGCTGGCTGGTCCTTGGTCTCGGGTCCTGGAAGGGAGCCCCTGGTGGGACGTCTGCCTGTGGACTCCCACTCACCCCATGTGCCCAAGGACCCACCCAAATGCCTACCAGCCTCCTCCCCCAATGGCTCCTGATATTGACACAGAACTCCAGGTATCTCCTCTCCCCCTCAATTATATCTGCACGATGCCCTTAAAACCCCAATAATCCAATCTCTCATTGTCATAATTGAGCCCTCTTATGTCCTAAAGACCAATGATTCCCCTTTCAATGACTGTCATTTCTAAGTCTTCAAAGCACCCATTTCCTGAATAACTTACATCTTCAATGATCCCCCATTAATAACCTCTGACTCCTCATTCTCCTGATATCAACTCAACCCTCCACACATGTAATGACCACCATTACCTCTATTAATATTTGGGTCTTTCACTGCTCCTTGTCCCCACTACCTTAACCTCTTAGTTATTCTCACTGATGTCCATGATCCCTAAAGACCTATTGACTCTCTTAAGCACCATTTATATTTTTGATGATGACCACTAATTCTCCCAATGACGGCATGAATATCCACTAACACCCAGATCCTTAATCCCCTCTATTTACTCCCACTGATCATTACCATTTCAATGACCCCCACATAACATCACTAATACCTGAATCTTCAATTACCTTCACTGACTGCTCTGACCCACAATCTATTCTACTCCATGTCATCCCATCCCTAGCATGACCATTATTAATGTCCATTAATATCAAAGACTTCCAGTGAGCTCTGGTGACTCTCCTAACCCTCTTTTATTCCCTTGTCCCCAATGATCACTATTAATCTCCACTAACACCTAGGACTTCAATAACCTTCACTGACTCACTTGACCTCCCTTTATTCTCCGTGGTATCCACACCCCTCCCTACACTAACCACCATAATATGCACTAACACACAGGACTTTTTTTTTTTTCTTTTTTTCTTTTTTTAAATTTTTTTATATATATATTTTATTGATTTTGTACAGTGAGGAAGGGAGAGAGATAGAGAGTTAGAAACATCGATGAGAGAGAGTCATCGATCAGCTGCCTCTTGCAAAGCCCCTACTGGGGATATGCCCGCAACCAAGGTACATGCCCTTGACCCGAATTGAACCAGGGACCTTTCAGTTTCCAAGCCGACGCTCTATCCATTGAGCCAAACCGGTTTTGGCAACACACAGGGCTTTTATAAATATGACCTCCATTGCCTTTCCCCATAATTATTATTAACAATTACCAATGAAACCCACCACTTCAATGCCCCCTACTGATTCCCCTGACACACCTCCTACATAATCTAGTCAATGTCCATGGAATTGCCCCAAGGCCAACCATTAGTACCCATTGGCAACTATGTCTCAACAGTTTTCTCATGAAGTCCCAATGACCTCATATTCCTTCATCCTCTCATTGACATTCTATGACTCCACTTGCCCCCAATTACCAACGACCTACTCCCAATATCTGCCATTACTTGCAAATTCCAAAATTCTCAGACACCCATCCGCTTCCACTATTTAATCTTAGAGATGTCCACTGGTCCTTCCCAGTGACCTCTTTAACATGCACTAATTCCAAAGTGATCAATGAGCAATGCCCCCAATGACTTTCATTGACTCTCCACAGAATACCTTTACACATCCACCTGGGTCTTCAAAGACTCTCCTACTGGCCCTCTAACTCTCCAAATAATCTCATTGATGTCCACTGCCTCCCCACCAATAGTCGCCATTAGTATCCACTAACATCAGGTTCCTTAAAAAGAGGTCACTCCAACAACTCACCATCGTCTCCTCAATGATGCAAACGGGCTCCCACGGACCCTCTTCTCTGCCTCAATGACTTAAATGACACCCTAGTCCCGAATGACACTGATTTCTGAATAGTCCAGCTTTGACCCTCTTAACTTTCTTTCGGTCAGTCATTGGCCCAACCATCTTAAACCCCCAACGCCCCTCCCTGACCCCCAACTACTGGTAATTTCTTTTTGATACCCCGACAACCTACACTCATTCCAAAACCCCCAGTGAACACTCACTGATGCTCACTGACTGATTTTTCTCCTTTTCATTCCTCATAGATGTAAACTACAATGTGAGTCAACGATGACCTCTTACTGACCACATGCAACCCTGTTAAGTCCCCCCAAAAGACTCGTTACTGGTCCCTCGCTGACCTCCCTCAACAATGACATCCCTATTCATTCTTTCGAATGTATAGTGAGGAAAAAGACATACCTGTTTCCTCCAGGCTACGGTCTTCGGACTCTGTGGGGTCCTCCTGAACCCCTCCACCGTCTCCAGCCTCCTCACCGGGGAGCCGCGTGTCCTCCAAGTCCTCTGCGTCCCCGGGGGCTGGGGCAGCAGTGTCTCCTCCGGCCTCCATCTGCACATCCCTGGACGGCAGGGGAAGTGAGGGTGATGGGGCAGCAAAATAAACGTCCCTAAAAGCCTCTCCTGAGCTCAGCCCTCTTGGACACACTCCCAGTGCCCGTTTACCCTCGGTTTCCAAACAGGACGAGGCATTTAAAAATGTGACCAAATACTTGCATCCTCCAACACACCTGCCGAAAAGGAAGGATCTACCGATCCTCAAGAATTAAAGATACATAAAGCATCTGTTTTTAAACCCGGTATCTCAACCGGCCGGGTACCGTGACTTCCCGTGGCCTCGGAAGCATCACACTTCCGGGTGCGACTGACATCTCGTCCCACTTCCGGGTGCAACGACGTTGGAAGGAACCCGGTGCTGCAGACCTTCTTCATTCGCAGCCCGCGGGCCCGCTCCCTCTCCCGCTGCCCACTGGTCTCCGCTCACCGTTGGGAAGGAGCGCGCCACTCCGGGTCGATGTCGGGTCTGGTTGGGAACCTGGCGAGCCCCCGGGTGCTCTGCTCTGCACCAAACCGGCTCCGCGGCGCCGGACGCACTTCTGGTAGTGAAGGCTGTTGGTGTGAGGGGGGCGCGGCTCACGGTCAGCCAATCCGAGTACGGAGGGGGGGCTCCTTATGGCCCAATCAGGAGAAGCCGGCTTCCTTTCGCCCGTATCCGCCTCTTCTCTCTACCAATACTGTGCGTTGGATTTGCGATTGCACCCGCCCACTCCTTGACGGACAGTTCCCCGGACCCAATCGAAAGCTCGAGCCAATTCCCTCTTTTTTTTTCCGCTCCAGGAAGTTCCCCGCACCAAATAACCGTAGGTGCGTACCCCGTCCAATAGGATGTTTGACGGACAGCCGCCGCTTCCAGTGGGAGTGCCGTGCGTTACCTGGCCAGCCTATGGAACTCGGCGCTGAGGCAGAAGGCGGACCTCTCAGAAATAGGAAGTAGTCGCAGGTCTCAGTGTTCTGCCAGGCAAAGGGCTCGTAGCCTCTGGAATAAAGGGAACGTAATCACGGCGCGAAGGAATGAGCTTGCTAAGGTAATGTGCAGGCTGATCGGGCAAAATACCGAGCTAACCTCCTTTCAAAAAACAAACAAGCTGAAACCGGTTTGGCTCAATGGATAGAGGGTCGGCTTGGGACTGAAAGGTCCCGGGTTCGATTCCGGTCAAGGGCATGTACCTTGGTTGCGAGCATATCCCCATTGGGGGGTGTGCAAGAGGCAGCTGATCGATGACTCTCTCTCATCGATGTTTCTAACTCTCTATCTCTCTCCCTTCGTCTCTGTAAAAAATTAATAAAATATGTTAAAACAAACAAACAAAAAAACCCACAAAAACAAACCACGGCCTTGTGGGCGGAGCTATAGAGATTGGAAGTCCAAATCTGACGAAATAGCACGTGGGCGTGGCCTTGAGAGCGTACGGAGTCCTGTGGGTTGAAACACCAGGATGGCTAGGCGGGGTTGGGCGCGCTCCCTGAGGGGTGGTGTGGAGAGGGACGCGCCTGGAGCTCCTTTTGCCCAGGGTGGCATTAGAGAGCTCCCAGGAAAACTGTTTCAGCGTGAGGACGAGCGTGGTGTGGACACGCCTGTTCAGGACTCTCTCTGCCTGCGACTCCTGTTTCTGACTATTTTTGTCTCTGAGTGTCTCTCTGCGTCTGCGTCTCTGCCTCACTTCCTGTGTCTGTGTTTCTGTATCTCTGTTTCTGCCATTCCTCCCTATCCCTTCAGCTTTTTCTGTCTGTGTCGTTTTCTCAAAATCTTTTATCTCTCAGGCGTTCTTTAATTTTCCTCCCCTCTCTCACATCGCTCTGTCTTGGTCTCTGGCTTCCCGCTCACTACCCCTGTCTAGCAGAGTGGAGGCCCCCCACTCCATAGAGCAAAGCCCCCGAGGACCAGCAGCATGGAGTCCCCTCTACCACCTCCCCAACCCCCTGCGCTGTCACTCGCAGGATTCCTCTTTACATTGGGGAATCTTTGGAGAAATAGACCCTGACCACTCCTCAGGAGATTGAGGGTTCACTCCTCCCTCCCTTCACCATAGGGTTTTCCTGAATTGTAACGCACCCTTCCCCTCAGTGTGCGATGTTAAATTCCATGGTCTTTGTCATGTTAGTGAGACTATGCTTTTTCATGAAGCAGCAGCATCATGTAAACAAACCAACTCTTCCCACAGCCATGTTTCCACCAAAATACAGTATTAAAAAGCAGCTCTGGCCAAAAGTATGGAGTTTCTGGAACTCAGTAAATCTTGGTGAAATAGTTAGTCCCTGGATTCACATAGACTCTTCCATCCTCACTACAGAAGATCAAGGTAACTGAAGAGATCTGAGTTTCATTTATGATTGCTAAGGAGAATAATTGCACTTATATCCCAAAGTGGGCATCCCTAATGAGAAATTCCTCATCTGGAGTAAGTTAATCAGTCTTCAGATACTTACCTTCTCGCTCTGCTAAATACTTCCATATTGGGCCCTGCCCACAAACCCAGGAAAGAGTCCTTTTATGTGCACATCTTCTTTCATAAGGTCACTAATACATTATGTTCCCACGACTGAACAACCATGCCCACTTTTATGCTTGTCCCAAGATGCGTTGAGCTTCTGGAGCTGAAAAGTCACAACCCACATTAAGAACTTGTCTGTGCTTATCTGGATAGATCGTGGTGACCCTCATGCTATGGGGGTTCTTTTCTTTATAAACTTTCCGAATGCTAGGAAATTGAACTTGACTATAGGGTATAAATTGAGCTGGGAAGAGGTACACAGTCATGAACAGAAATGAGGAAACTTGTAGTGTATTTGTGTAGCTGTGTGGTTGTGACTGGTTCCTTCCGTTGTACCCGCAGTGTAGGGTTATTTGGTGCCCTTATTTCCCGATTATCTGCCTTTGTAGCTATTCCTTGCCCTGCCTCTCTTTTCTGTGCCCCATCAGCTAGTTCCATTCTCTCTTCTCTGATTTGTATCATGGGTCCCTGCTCCTACATTTTGTTCTCTGCCACATCATGCTGACAAAAACCACAAAAACAGTTAGTGGGAATGTTAGCAATGTATGTACAAGACCTATATCCAGGTTACTATAAAATTTTTCTGAAGAAATGAAGAAGATCTAAATAAATTGGGATTATACTATGACCATTGGAAAACTAAAAAGAAAAAAGTCTACATTTCAGTGTAATTGTAATGAATATTCTACCATAAATTTTGAGGAAACATATTATCGTGCAAGAATTGGCCTTCCTTCCCCTGGCTGCCAGCACCATCTTCACTCCAGCCCGGAGCCACCTTTCTGCCTTCCCATGTTGCCCAGAGGCCCCAAGTGGCTGGGGTGATGCAGAAGGCCTCACCCCTGGCCCCTCAGTGTCTGCATATGCAAACTAACCTGCCATCTTTGTTAGGTTAATTTGCATACTCACTTCTGATAGCTGGTGGGCATCACAAAGGTATGGTCAATTTGCATCTTACTCTTTTATTGGTGTAGATGATATTATCTTAATAAGATGGGGACTTTGGGAGGTAAATAGGTTTAGAAAGTCATAAATAAGGGTAGGTCCACCTGAGGGGATTAGTGGTGTTATAAGAAAAGACCAGAGAACTTGCTTTCTCTTTCCCTCCTCCCTATGAGGAGGATACAGCACAAGACAGTAGTCTGCAAACCAGGAAGTGTGTCCTCACTGGACACCAGTCTACTGCCACTTTGATTTTAGACTTTCTAACTTGCAGAGCTGTGAGAAATAAATTAGTTTGTGTTATTTTATTTTAGTCATTTGAAAAAATGGTGTAGATGATATTATCTACACCATTTTTTCAATCATCACCATATTCTTTAATCCCATGTCACATGCTGCCTTTAATTGCAGAGGATCAAGTTAACTGAAGGGGTATTTGAGTTCATTTATATGACTTCTAAGGAGGATAATTGTGTTGTGGACATCTCAGGAAAAATTCATCACCTAGGGTAAATTGGCCACTCTCCAGATTCCTATCCCTGTTCTTTGGTACGTGTTTCTAAAAAGTGGATCCCAGGACAAAAGGTTCCCCTTTGTGCACATTATTCTTCATGAGTCACTCAGCATACTGCACTCCCAAGAGTGGCTAACCATGCGCAATTCTACACCTGCCTCAGGGTGTCCTGAGTCTCTGTAATGGACTATTTGTAAAACACGATGTGTTCTTTTTTGTGGATATCTGCACACACTGAGGCGATTCCCAGGCTATGACTTCCATTCCCACACACCTTTCTGAATCATAAGAAATGGAAACAATATATGCAGCAGAAATTACTGAGTAGAAGATTTCTAGCTGGGAACACCAAAAGGCAAAACTGTGGGTCTACAAGAAAACACACACACAATTATACTATTTTATACTGCTCCTCAGACATTTTGGGTATTATATGACATGTTTCCATTTTATTAAGTGGTCAACATGTGTTGGTTTATAACATACACTCTGGCCTAGTGTTAGTGGGGCTGTAGCTCAGCTATGAATTTAGCTTCCAAAGCCTTTACAGTGCAATTCTGGTCTCCCTCACTTGTGTGCAACCCACAAGTCAGTTTTGAAACAGATCTTGCACTCAATGCTGTAGTTCAGTTCTCAAACCTTTTGCTTGTGTTAGTTCTGGTCATTTTCATACATGCATCTTTTAGAGGTTTGCCAGGACATCTTACACAAACTAGAGGCCTGGTTATGAAACTTGTGCTCTGGGGAGTGTACCTTAGCCAAGCCTGCACCCTCTCCAATCTGGGACATCCCTCTCAATCTGGGACTGCTGGCTCCCAACTGCTCGCCTGCCTGTCTGCCTGATTTCCCCTAACCCCTTCTGCCTGCCAGCCTGATTACCCCCTAAACACTCCTCTGCCAGCCTGATCAACACTTAACTACTTCCCTGCTGGCCTGATTGCCCCAACTGCCCTTCTCTGTTAGCCTGGTTGCCCCCAACTGTCCTCCCCTGTTGGCTTAGTTGCCCACAACTGCCCTCCCCTACAGGCCATCTTGTATGAGGCT